GTGCAGTGGCATGCTCATGGCCACCGCAGCCTTGACCTGCTGGGCTCAGGCAATCCTTCTACTTCAGCCTTCCAAGTAGCTGGAACTACAGGCACACACCACCACACCTAATTTTTTGATTTATTGTAGAGACAAGGTCTCGTCCAGTTGCCCAGGCTGGTTTTGAACCCCTAGGCACAGGCCGTCCTCTCGCCTCCGCCTCCCAAAGTGCTGGGATTACAGGTGTGCGCCACTACACCCAGCTAAGGGCTCTTAGAACTTAAAGAACTGCAATGCTAAAGAACCCACAACACTGCTCCTCAGATCTCAGTGAATATCTTCCGGACCCTGCCGCCCAGTGAGAACCCTGAATTTGACCCTGAAGAGGATGAGCCCAACCTTGAGCCTTCGTGGCCGCATCTACAGGTCTGAAGGGCTGGGGAAGGCAGGGATTCAAGTTCGGGAAGAGACTGAGGAGAGGGGAGAGGGTCTCCTTTGTCCGGAGACTGCTGGATGAGGGCCACAGGGTGGGGTGAGTGGGTGAGGCTGTTAGTGAGCTCGGCTTTTTGTCTGTCCTCCTCCTAGCTGGTATATGAGTTTTTCCTGCGTTTCTTGGAGAGCCCAGACTTCCAGCCCTCCGTGGCCAAGAGATATGTGGATCAAAAGTTTGTCCTGATGGTGAAGTGGGGAGCCCAGATGGGGTGGTACCATGGGGCAGGGCTAGGCTCTCTGTAGGGCTGGGGATAGGATGGAAGTGAGCTGGGGTTGACCTCTCACCTGGCCCCTGACACCGGCTTCCACAGCTACTGGAGCTATTTGACAGCGAGGACCCCAGGGAGCGTGAGTACCTCAAGACCATCCTGCACCGGGTCTACGGCAAGTTCCTGGGTCTCCGGGCCTATATCCGCAAACAGTGCAACCACATCTTCCTCCGGTGAGTGGCTGCTGCCTGCTCGGCAGAGATCTGGGGAGGGAGGGAAGGCTGTCAGGGAAGAAACCGAGGCAAAGGATTCTGGGCCACAGGGCCCCTTATAGAACTCTGGTTGGCCAAGTTCTTTCTTGGTAATGTATTATACTGATTAGACAAATACTGTGAAGTCAGCAGAGAATGGGTATTCATTTCCATTTTACAGATGAAAAAGTAGAAGCTGAGAGAGATGAAATGGTTTGCAGGGACTAGGGACAGTCCAAGGGACCTAGGATCTAAATATTTTGACCCTTTTTTTTTTTTAATTGGAGTCTCACTCCTTCGCCCAGGCTGGAGTGCAGTGGCACGCTCACGGCCATCCCAGCGTCGACCTGCTGGGCTCCGGCAATCCTTCCGTCTCAGCCTTCCAAGTAGCCGGAGTTATAGGCGCGCACTACCATACCCGGCTAATTTTTTGATTTATTGTAGAGACGAGGTCTCACCAAGTTGCCGGGCCTGGTTTTGAACCCGCGGGCTCAGGCAATCCACCCACCTCAGCCTCCCAAAGTGCTGGAGATTACAGGCTGAGCCACTGAGCCCAGCCTGACGCTTTTTTTTTTTTTTTTGAGTTGGAGTCTCACTCTCTCTGCCAGGCTGGAGTGCAGTGGTATGCTCACAGTCACTGCAATCTTGACCTGCTAGGCTCAGGCTATACTCCTGCCTCAGCCTTCCAAGTAGCTGGAAACACAGGCATGCGCCACCACACCCAACTAATTTTTTTATATTTTTATTGTAGAGATGAGGTCTTACCATGTTGTTCAGGCTGGTCTCGAACCCCTGAGCTCAGGCAATCCTCTTGCCTCTGCCTTCCAAAGTGCTAGAATTATAGGAGTGAGCCACTGCGCCCGGCCATCTTTTGACCCTTATTGTGCTAGGCCATAAGGTCTCAAAGGGAAATTCTTTGCATACATGAGTATGCAGCACCAGCACCCACTGGGCATCAGAGCTCATGTGGCCATGTAATTGAGACTATAGCCCTGGAGTTTGGTTTCAGTATTTGGGTGAACTTGGGCAAATTACTTTGGCTTTCACCTAGTTTTCTCACCTTTATTTATTTATTTTTCTGAGTCGGGGGGGCTATCCTGGGCTTGGCGATCCCCAAGTAGCTAGACGGATGTCACCACAACTGGCTAATTTTTAAATTTTTTTGTAGAGACAAGTCTCACTAGGTTGCCTGGGCTGGTCTCGAACTGCTAGGCTCAAGCAGTGTTCCCACCCCGGCTTCCCAAAGTGCTGGGATTACAGCCAAGAGCCACCGTGTCCGGCCTCCTTCATCTTTTTTTTTTTTTTTTTTT